GTGCGGCGCGTGAGTGCGGCTGGGGTGGCGGGGCGTAGCAGGTGCGCGATAGCGGTCCTGTAGGGCCGCAGCGGCTGTGTATTTCAAGCGGAAGTGCAGATAATCATACTGCGCGGCGGTTACAGCAGTGCGCAGCCGCCTCCAGATGGCGCCCGTCCGCCGGCCGCTGCGGGTGCGGCGCCCTTGCCAGACGCAGCAGCAGTAAAAGCAGCACAGGAACGGCGGCGCACCCGCAGGTAGCGGCGCCACGCCATCCGTCCGCCGCTGCAGCTACTGCCCTCCGAACCGGCTGCCAGGCCCGCAGCCCAGGCGCGCCCAGAGCCAGGTGCGGCGGCCCGCCGGGGTGCGTAATCCTGGAGGTGCGGGGACGACTGTTGCGGCGCGTCCCGCGCATCGCGAGTCGCGTACACGGTGCCGTCTTGCAGCACCTCGGGCTTGCTGTGGGCCATTCTAAGCCTCAATCGCTCCACGCAGCACAACTCGCTGCCCTCCGCGGGCTACACGGACCGCGCTGGGCATGACTGTTCGAGGGTGCGACACAACGCCCGTATGTCTAAGGGAGCTCGCTGTGACTTCATATTCAATCCAAAAAGTCGTGTGTATCGATCTGCACCTGCAGCACTCGGCGCTGTCTTGCCACTGCGTTGCGCGCTTCACCACAACAAGTGCGTTACTAATTGCGCCATATGACCCTCGTGCATTTGTTGAACGGCTCCTCGTTCAATGAGACCTTTCATTTTAGTTGTACATCTTCGTTTAGGTAACTGCGGGCCCTCGAGGAGCACTGGCTGTTTGATCAATGTCGTCTTGGCGTCACCTGGTGCCTCCAGGAGGCGATCCACCCCAATTTTGATGCAGCGGCACGCCCTCAAACCGCGCCCTCTCTGTGGTGATTGGGCTTTTCTGCCCTCTGGTCACCACGGCCACAAGATGCATGACCACAGATGCCGGGCCGCGCCAAGCGCAGTGAGCGGCCGCAGACAGCTTGCGCTGCAGCCTCAAGGCGGGTTGGCGGCTGCAGTGGCATCCGTGGGCTGGCTGATGGGGGTGACGTGTGTGGGTGGCGCGAGCGTAAGATGCGGTGCTGACCTCCCTCCCACTAGGCCAGGTTTCCCTCTCCCCCCGCCCCAAACCCCCACCACTCCATCACCCTCACCCCTCAAAAACCTGACATCCCACCCACCCCCACCCTAGGTAGCCCGCCCCGCCCCATAAACACACACCGCATGAGAGACGCGGGCACAGTCCCTCAAAAGTTTCATGTCTTGCCCTCCAGCCCCATCTCAAACATCGCGGCTAGGAGTCAAGCGAAGCGTCTGGGTACATGCGGTGCAACTGGCTGGCACCCAAGCTTGTAAAACTGGGCTGGGGTACTCGACTTGGGCAATGCTGCAAGGGAGAGGACTGCCGCCAAGCTTTGTGTATGTGTTACCAGCCATCAGCCACAGGTGTGTGTTCAGGCGCGCTTGTGCTCGCCTGGCTCTTGCGAGGGCGACATAATCAGGGGGCGTGAGGGCCCACGCAGACTGCGCCGGGTCTGGCGCGGCAAGAGACAGCAGTGCATCCGCTGCATTCAGCCGCGGAAGCGTCTGGCCCTGCTGCAAATGCGGCCTCTCCTGCTCCGCCGCGACATTTGTGCCCTCGCCGCCGCCATCATGCTGTCAGCGATATCGCCACACGGCTCTCAGGCAAAGCACAAACGCAGGCAAAAGGGGCAGCGCCACACCTATCAACAAGCAAGCATCCCACTCAAGGCCTGGTGCCGGGCGCGCTGCCCGGCAGTGCAGAGGGTGCAATTGCACACGCGTTGTGGGGAGGGAGGAAAAACCCCGCTCTGCATTTAAAAGAACAGTTGTACATCATTCAAGCAAGCTCAAAATCGGGCGGCGCGACGACGCGCGGCAAAGCCTGCGTGTTGCTGCTCAGGGCGTGTGCGCCAGCGACCGTGCCGCTGCTGAAGGGAGCAAGAGGGGGAAAGAACCTGCCGGCGCTATCCTTTCAGCGCCACACACGAGCAGGGAAGTGAACCAATTAGGGACATGCTCGCGCGCAGGCGCTCGGCAGCAGCACGTGCCCCCGCCGCACGCCCGCGCGCCACGCGCAACCACACGCACCTCCCGCCTATGCGGCCGCCGCCCCTCCCCCTCCGCCGTCGCCGGGCCGCGGCCCCTCCCGCTCCGCCGCCGCCGCCGCCGGCTGCTCGGCCGCGTCCGCGCCGCCGGCCGCCGCGGCAGCGTCGCCGGTGGCGTCGCCAAAGCCGCCCCACGCCAGCGGCGTGACGGACCGCTCAAACTCCTTCCTCAACTTCACCAACATCATCTCTGCGTCATCCAGCTGCAGTCGGGCGTTCACGTCCTCCACCTCCAGGCTCGTGCTGGCCGTCAGCTCCCGCAGCGCCTCCTGCCGCCGCCCCAGCCGCAGCAGCGTGCGCCCCAGCTCCACCCGGTGGATCAGCTTGCTGGGGTTCAGCGAGGCGGCGGCCTGGAACTCGGTGAGCGCCTCCTCAAACGTGCCGGGGGCGAGGGCGGCGCCGTAGACGAGCTTGATCAGCTGCCGGACCACGAAATTGATCTGGGCCATCTCAAAGTGCCTGTTTTGGCGCGGGAAGGAGGGGGGCCAAAGAGACGCTCGCGGTGGAGACGAGGTTTGCAGCATCAAATTGCTCGCGCTGCTGAGAAGTGACGTCAGTTCATATTCGACATGGTGGCTGCCAGAACCAAAGCCAAGTGTCACGTCCCAGAAAACCCTGCTGAAAGACGGTCTCCCGCAGAAAATAACAAGTCAAGCACCTTGCGGGTGCCCGTCGACGCCCGCCCAGGCGTCACCCACCATCTGCCCATCAGGTGATGCGCCAGATCGTTCGAGGGCTCCACCTCCAGCGCGTGCACAGCAGCCTCGCGCGCCTCCTTGGCCAGACGCACCTGTTGAACGGGCCGCGTTGGTGAGGAAAGAGTGTCATATAAATTTGTTGGTTGCTGTGCCAGCAAGGCTTGGACAGTCCTATGCTAAGCCGCTGTCGCTTCCATTAACAAGCTTGGCTGACGGCCGCAATGAGCTGGGCTGGTCAGCTGTCCCCTGAGCCCAGGGACCCGTGCCCGCCCGCACCTTGGTTTTGTTGTCGCTGAAAAGCGCCAGGCGCCCCTTGCTCACGCAAGACGCCATGTGGCCAGCAGCGGCCTGCGCACGTGCGGAGTTGTGCAAACGCCAGCATGTGCGATCAGCCGCCGGAAGGGTGGCAGCCAGGGTTGCTGTTGGCGAACTACCCTGGAGACAGCCGCAGACCCCAGCGCTGCCATCGATTGCTGCTGCCCGGGCACGTCGTGCCCTGGAGTGCCAGGGAAGAAACCGCCCACAAACCTTGGGGTCGAGGGCAATGGCGCGCTCCGCATACTCGATGCCCTTTGCGTTTGCCTCCGCCACCTGAGGGGGCCGCGCGCAGGTAGGGCAGAAACAGCTCAGTTTCAAGGCTGCGAGCCAAGGCACGTGCGCAGGCGGCGCGCCGATCAACTGCCGCCCCGTGTTCCTGCAACTGTGCACAGCGCCAGCTTGCGCCTCACGGTGGCCCCGCCTGCCGCGAGCCCACCTGCGCGTTGGTGGCGCCGGCCTCGTAAGTGAGGTCGCTCCACTGCTTAGCCAGCCGGCAGACGTACTCCAGGTTTGTGGGCTCCAGCGCCACCGCGCTCTGGTAACACGACAGCGCCTCCCGCAGGTCCAGCGCCCGCTCGGCTTCCACCCCCTTAGCCACCCACCGCCGCGCCGCCTCCGCCGGCTGGAACGCCGCCCGCGCCGCCCCGCCCGCCAAGCTGCCTGACGCGTCGGCGCCGCTGGCGCCGCTGGACCGCTGCCACGGCAGGCGGAGGTGGCGCCAGGGCATGCGGCCCTTCAGCTCGTCCCCTTGGTGCGCCACACCGCGCTGCAGGTTGGTGAAATGGAGGAGCAGCTGTGCGCCGACCAGGCCCGCCAGTTTCGCTGCTTCCGAGTTGATGTGCCGGCTGAAAAGGCGCAGGCCGTGATGCTGCTCGCCGCCGCGGCTGCCGGCGGAGGCGGTGCCCATGGCTGAGGCAGGGCAGGGCGGGCCAAAGGCGCCGAAGGGTGCAAGCCAGAACGGCTGCTGCCGCTGCTGCTGCTGCTGCTGCTGGGCCTGTTGCCCCAGCTGCTGCTGTGGCGCCTGCGCCTGTATATGCAAGCGTTGCCCCTCGTTGCCCAACAATGCCGCTTCGTGCTGCTGGTGGTGGTTTCCCGCCAGCCCGCATGAGCCCGCCTCTGGCGTGTCCAGGCTTGCACTGAAAACCCCTGTGCTTTCATTACCACTGTTGCTACCCCCGCTGCTGCTGCTGCTGCTGCTGCCACTGCTGCTGCCGCCGGCGATGCTTGCGGCTGCCCCAGCAATGGGGGCAGCGTGGCTGACCGACGGATTGTCCGCTCCCGGATCAAAGAGCAGCTGCTGCAGCCCCTGCTGCTTGTGCTGCTGCTGTAGTGGCGCAGGCTGCGGCCAACCCCATGGAAATCGGAATTGCGGGCCCGCGGCACTGCTGATGCTGGCGAATACAACGCGGCGCGGCGGATTTGCAGCGACGCGCCATTGCCGCTGCAGGTGCCCGGCGGTAGGCTGCCTCGCTTGCAGCTGCAGGGAATGTGATTGTGGTGCCCATGTGATGGTTGTGAGCACGGCCTGCGCGCCCCATGCTGGCTGCTGGTGCTCCACCATGCGGACGCTGACGAGGCCGCCCGAAACGCAGAGTGGCGCCCTGAGCTGTGCTTTAACGTATCAGCGCTACACAAATATATTATTACGATTAGGGCCTCCTGTTTTCGATGGGCCAGAGGCCCGTGCTGACGCCCGTTGGCGCCGCGTGGGCGTCACAGTCAATGAAGCATTGCCAAGCCATGCCATACACGGCGCACATCACAAAAAATTGATGGTTGTGTTGCACGCAACTGCCATGCAGTCGCTGCAGAGGGGACTGGGCAGGCGGGCGAGATGCAAAAGTTGGGCAACGGGACAGTGCGGAACTTCGCAAGTGTAGGGTATCGGAACAAAAGCGCTGTATCTTTTCAGGCCAGCTTTGCCGAGCGAGATCGGTCACACCCGCTGCCACATCGCGCCAGCAACCATGCTTCTATCGGGAACGCTTCAGCGGTGTAGGCTCTCGGCCAGTACCGTGCCGCGGCAACCTCGGCCCAGCGTTGGTAAGCGACGGGGGAGCGGGCGATGCACCTCGCCGGCTCGGCTGGCATGCACCCAGGTGTACCCCCCTGCCGATCCACCCCGCGGACGCCACCCCTCAACCCACTCCAACCTTCGCCGCTGTCGCGCGCCTCCCTCGCCTCATGCAGCGCGCCGTGCGCTGCGCGAAGAGACCCCCGAGCAGAAGCGCGAGCGCCAGCTCCGCGAGTCGGCGCGCGTCGAGGAGCGCATCACGTACATCCAGAACGCGGACCACTTTAAACGCGAGATCGAGGCGGCAGGCAAAAAGCTGGTTGTGGTGGAGGCCCAGGCCGAGGGCGTGTGTATGACCGGGCTCGACGAGGAGCCCGAGCTGCACTGGAAGGGCGACAAGGAGGCGGCGCTGCGGCCGTGCGAGAACATCAAGCACACATTTGTGCGCACCGCGCGCGAGTGCCAGGACGTCGTCTTCTTGTCCCTGCAGGTAGGCAGCGCTGGGGGTGCTCTCAGGGGCCCGTGGGACCGAGCACAGGGTCGGCTGCCCGGCGGTTGCCAGCAGCTGCGCACGGGACCACGTGGAAAGGGGAGTTGGAGGGGGATGAAGCGGGCGCGGCGGCGCTGCGGTGCTGCGGCCGCCGGAGGCACTGCGTGCGCCGCAGTGTTGCGGTGTGGTGATGTCAAGCGCGGCAAGTCTGCGGCGGCGAGCGGCTGCGCGTTGTGTTCTGGCCGCTTGACGCCAGGCCCCAGCAATCGACTGCCGCCCGGTGCTGCGCTACTTGCATGCATGGCATGCATGAACGCATTGCATGCAATGCTTCATGCATGCAACGCATGTTTACATGCATGCAGGCATGGAAAACCATGTGGTAGCCGCGCTGAAGCTGGGGAGCGCTGATGTGTGCAACAGCCTGGCGACACCAGCGCCTGCACGACTGGTCGGACTTCGGCCGCTGCTCACCACTCATATTGCAACAACACTCGTCCAGGCTGATGACGAGGAGGTGGCTGACCTGTGTGACGAGCTGGGCATTGAGGTCATCCCCACACTGCAGTTTTGGCGCAACGGCGCAAAGATCTGGGAGCACAAGGGCATCATGAACATGGACCAGGTGGGCCTGGGGCCGGGCGGCTGGCCGGGTGGGCGGTCGGGTGTGTGCATTCTGAGGGCGAGTGTGGCAGCCCGCCCGCCCACTTCCACGCCCAGGGCCACCATGGCAGAGGCTCTAAAGTGCAGTTGGAGTGGGGGGTGGGGGCGGTGGGGTGGATTGGAGGGCAGCTCGAGGCCTTCAGGGGTTGAGGGAGGGGGCGCACAGCAGCGGCGGAAGCGGGGATGTGCACGCGCAAGGGGCATTGGCGGTGTTGGAAGTTGCACGTGGCGTTGAAAGTGATGCAGGAAGGGAGCTCGGGAAGCGGTGCAACAAAGACAAGAAATGCAGCAACACGTGGCTGTTCATACTGCATCCATGTCTGTCAAGGCCCTGCGGCCCCACACTTGTACGGCTCACGCGCGCACGCGCCGACAATCATCACTCAGGACCTGGGAGAGGGCGTGCTATTCTTCAACGGCAGCGCGGCCGGCGGCGTCCAGGCCGGCGACTTCGTGACCGAGCTGCACAGCGAGGAGGAGATGCAGGCCTTCATCGCCTCCCAGTCAGACAGCGTGCTCACGGTCGTCGACATCTGCCTGTCGGACGCGGCGCCCTGCATCCGGGTCTACCCCGCGGTGCTCGCGCTCGCGCGCAGCTTCAAGGGCTACGCCGCGTTCGGGCGCGTCGTGGCGGACCAGTCGGACGCGGGGCGGGAGCTGCTGCGGGACTACAACGTGGTGGAGGTGCCCACGTTCCTGTTCTTCAAGAACGGGCGCGAGGTCGACAGGTGGGCGGCGCAGATGAGGGGAGCGGGCTTCCGAGTCAGCGCCTTGCCTTGCAGACCCCTGCCTTTGTGCTGCGCAGTGGCGTGCCGGCTGTCGGCAGCGACAGCATCTCATGAGGACGTGTGGGCGGGCAGCGGGGCGCAAACGCGATCGCTGCTGCTGTTGACACCACACTGCACGCGGTCGCCCCTGGCCCGCCACTACACTGACCTTGGTCCGCCGCCTGCCGCTGTCTCTCAACCCCGCACGCCCACCCGCCGCCCCTCGCTGTTACCGCTGCCGCCGCCCCCGCAGGCACGTGGGCAGCAGCCGCGGCGACCTCATCGGCAAGATTATGGAGGTGCAGTCGCGCTTCGGCGTCGCGCCGCCGCCGCCGCCGGGCGGCGCGCAGCCGCGGCGCACCATCCAGCGGAGGGTGACCCGCAAGGCGCGCGCTTGAGAGGGCACGTGCTGCCGGTGGCGGCGCCCTCTGCGCGCCCGCTGCGCCTCTGGGCGTTGGTCTGGGGTTCTGGGTGAGCGGGGCGGTGCCAGGCGCCCCTGCTTCATTGTTGGGATCGGTTGAGGCGTGTTGGCGGTGCCATGTATATGCAGCCCGCGGCGGGGTTTGTGCCGGAGAACCGCGGCTGCCGCGCTGCTGTTGGGGGCAGCCCCGACGCCTCTGGGGGGAGCATTTCACGCCCCTGCTCGTGTTGCGTTCTGTCTCGTACGCACTCATCTTTGGGGGGGTCCTCCCGCGTCCCGGGGGGGGGTCCTTCCGCATCAAAACAACGTACACATTACGCCGCCGCAGCCGTTGCGCGCCGTCGGCTCGCCCGTGGCTGCGTCAGCTGCCTCTCGGTGATTTTAGCGCCGTGAGCCTTTATCATAGCAAACCTGTGCCAGTTTTGTGGTTCTGGGCGGGGGCCCGCGCCCCTTGTGCCGCGTTTTTGCAGGGGTTGAGGAAGGGCTCACCCGTCTCGCTACATGTGCGCGGCGCACGGGGGCCTATGTGTTGCTTGGGCGGCGGGTGTGCGCCGTTCGTGCAGCGGCAATGTCGCAGTGCGATTCCGCTTTGTCAAATACGTGCAGACGAGACGGGCGGATTTTGGATAGAGTTCAGTAGAAGACGCTTTCGTGGAACCTTCTTCATCCTGGTAAACGCTGTGTGAAGCTACAGGCCGGGCAAGTGACGTGGCGTGGCTTGGACACGTGACTGCATCTGGGGCGCGGATGTTGGTTGCACGACGGAGTCCTGATATCCCCACTATCCTCGTGAAACGCATTGGACCCGCTCCCACCGCGTCTGTCGGGAAGCACATTCGAGAACCCACCAGGACTTGCTGTTGACTACGAATCAGGCTCCTTGCGGTGCCTCTCCGCGTATCGTGACTTTAATACTTGGCTAGTCTCAAACTCCCTTTCGCGCTGATTCATCCCAAGATCAGCCACTCGCCTGGAATAGCCTTGCCTCCCGCGGCACACATCGCCAGGCTAGCAGCTATGGGCGACCCTGTGGATTTGGGACAGTGGAAGGGTAAGCATGCGACCATGCCCAAGGGGCGAGAGCTACCGTTCGTGCAGCTCGTGTGCGACGCGCATCACCGCACACATCCTTGCCACCACGCCGTCGACAACCATGCACCCCCTACTGCCCAGGCATCTTCGACTGGAGTATGAAGTTCCAAGATGGCACACGCCCCACAGACTACACTGCTGTTGAGATGTCTCCAGAAAAGAAGGAATGGTGAGCGGAGTCTTGCCAGTCGCACACGGGTGTGCTGGCTGGGCGCAGCTGGGTACCATCCTGGAAGACCCATGCTGCCTCAGCAGCAGCAGAATATCAGCACCGAAAGCCGCGAATTGCGTCAGCCCACATCGAAGCACCCGGCGCGGCCAGCCATCCGCTACGGAGGTGGTGGCGGCTACCGCACGCACACATCTCCTCGGCCGACACCCCCTCCCCCTTGGTTGCCTCCGCGCAAAAGCTTCCATCCGCAAACTCACGCGCCCTTTTCTCCTCATTACACGGCACTTGCCCAATAGGTTGGAAAAAGCCATGCGGGAGCTGATGAAGGACCTGGGGGAGCGCACCAAAGAGATAAAGGCCGCCCTTGACACCCCGACAGCCGCCCCCACCTCCACCCCCGACGGAGACGCCGAGGCGCAAGCAGACGCAGCCGCAGCAGAGGGGACCTCTCTGAAGGAGAAGGAGGCGCTCCTGGACGAGCTGGTGGAGATCGTGGAGAGCATCGACCAGGCGCGGGACCTGCACAAAGTGGGCGGCCTCGAGACGCTGCTGTCCCTCATGCGCTGCCCGCACCCCTCCCTGCGCTGGCGCGCCGCCGAGGTCGCCGCCACCTGCATGGCCGGCAACCCGCCGGTGCAGCGCTGGTTCATGGACGGCGGCGCCGCGCCGGCGCTGATGGCGATGGCGGGCGACGGCGACGCGGCGTGCCGCACCAAGGCGCTGCTGGCGCTGTCTGCGATGGTGCGGCACTACCGGCCGGGGCTTGAGGCGTTCCGCCTGGCGGGCGGCCTGGGGAAGCTGCTGGACGCCATCGGCGCGGCGCCATCGGGCGCCGGCGGTACGCAGTCGGCAGAGCAGCAGGAGCACCAGCAGCAGCAGGCGGTGGCAGCGGCGGCGGCGTCGGGCAGTGGAGGCAGGGAGGACGAGGCAGAGGACGAGGCCGGGGCCGAAGCGGCGGCCGCGAGGAGGCGGCTGCGGCGCAAGGCGCTCGCCCTGCTGCAGTACGTGCTGACTCAACACCCTGCTGACTGCGCCGCGGCGGCGGAGCTCGGCGCCGTCGAGGCGCTCGAGGCGCAGCTGAGGGATCCCGCCGCGGGCAGCGACCTGCGCGCCGCGGCGCTGGAGGTTTTGGTTGAGATCGCCAGCCACCCTGATGGGTGGGGCGCGGTCAAGGCGCGCGAGCCGGGGCTGCAGGCGCTGGTCGCTGACCTGGCGCGCGCACACGGCGCGCTGAGCGAGGACGACCGGGCGGCGGACGCGGAGGAGGGGGCGGCGCTTGCGGCGCTGGGGGCGCTGCTGGCGGCGCCGGCTGCGCCAAAGGCAGCGAAGGCAGCTGCGGGCGATCACGTGGATTTAGACCCTTGGCAGGACGGGCAGGAGCAGAGCAAGACGGTCCCGGTCGGCGCGGGCGCAGGGGCGGCAGGTGCGGCCGTGGCCGGGGCCGGCGCCGGCTCCGGGGGCCAGCAGGGGCAGTCGGCGCAGCGGCGGGAGCAGCAGCAGCCGTTAGCGCTGGGGCCGCCGCCGGCGCGGTGATGGGTCTGAATGATGTTGGCTTGCGCCAGCTGTGCTGGCCACCCTATATGATGGTTCTCAGGCTGCTTTGGGTCGTTCGGCCGTCATGTAACTAGTTTTTGTGCCCAACATTTTGCACAGCCAGATTTCAAAGCTCTGCTGCTACAACTACTATTGATTCTGCGAAGACGTATTCGAGCAACACATGGGTTGAACTGAGGTGTCTGCTGGCGCCGCCCGTGCTGGGCTGGCTGCTACTGTCGGCCAGCCGGTGGGTTGCTGCTGCCCATTGGACCTAGTGATGCAGAGAGAAGGTGCCGCACTGCGGTAGCAGCGCACCCTAACGCAACCCCTAGATGTTGGCAATGCAGCAATGCGCTGCCCTTGGCTGGAGCGCGCCAATCCTGGCATCTTCAGCCTGCGTTGCCTCTTGATGCATGCTCAACCCACACTTTCCCAGCTGTGTTTAAGTGGGGACTTTTGAGCGCAACTGATATCTATCCTCAGTGGGTCGGTGTGCGGACGGAGTTGTGGCCAACTCCAAGTTGAGCGGCGGCGCATGCAGCGCGGCTTCTTTTGAGCGGCGTGCCAAGGCCACCATGTATGGGTCCAGCAAAGCCTGTGGAGTCATTTGCCGTAAATTCTCTGGAAGTCAATCGCCAACTTGATAAGGGAAGACATGTAGCAGGAACCTCCTCAGACCTATGATATCATAATGGACAAAACTCAATCACTTTTGGGCCGGCTTGAATCCCAGGCCACTGCTTGCGAGGTGCTCATGCCTTGCTCTGCTCATCTGCCAAACGCTGTGCATTGAATTTCGCAGCATGGCACGCAGCGGCAAGACAGCACTTGATATCCAGCCAAACGCGTCTTCCTGCTTTGATCAACCTAATCTGGGTTACACACAACACGCACGCGGAGCGAGCCTGGAAACTTCGGCCGTTGACCTGTTCTTACTGCGAATTTTACTGTTGAGCCGAAATTTTGGGGCGCAAGGAACATATTCGGGGGTTTTCATGCTACAGAGGTTCTGAGCTGTGCCTCGCGACTTCGGCACGACCTTGATTCATCACCCCTGCGCGTGTGACCCCGGAGGTTCATCCACACCACCCCGATCAGCACCATCCGCGAACGTGAGCTGATGCACGCGCATGTCATGTATTCAAAGCTAGTCTGACTCTGCCGCCGCTGCTCTGCTAAGGCGTGACCGCGGGTGCGCGAACCGCTGGTGGTGGTCACCCGCAGGCCCCGCTCTCTTGTACTAGTGCTAGCGTCCACATTACTGTTTGACAGCTGTTGAGCTTCAGCCGGGCGCTGCAACTGCCGTCTGTGCAGCCCGATGCTGACTAGCCTGAGCTGTGCTGCTTTACTGCGAGGAGGCTGCATTCTGACACGCCAGTGCGCCACCCACTTCCCCTATCAAGCGACTCCCTCTGCAGCCCCAAAGAGACACCGTTCCCCTGTCTTCATCTCATCATCTCCACCCAACCCCTGCCCTGACTCCACCACTCTCCAG